TAAAGAAAAGGTCTAAATATGCAAGTAATTTGCATATAAGTTCAGTTTTGTGAATTTTCAGAGGTAGGTTAAATTTTCAGTATATTTCCTGAAGAATAATTTCTTTCTAAAAGAATCCCACAAAGCTTGTTCTATGAGGTGGAGTACAAAAATGTACCAAATGTCCAAATTTCACAAACTGCTATACCATGTCATCATCTCTAATATCAGCTTAGGGAGCTCTGGTGGCCCAGTGGCAGGAAGCTGCGCTGCAGTCCTGAAGGCAGATGGTTCAAGGCCACCCGCTGCTTCACCAGAGAAGGATGAGAAATCTCCTCCTGGGCGATTAAATTAACTGCCTCTGAAAACCTACCGGAGCGTCAGCTATGAGTCGGTTCCAACTCTGAAGTACACAACAGTAGCAATATCACCTTACAAACAAGGATTCATGCCTTTAAGTTGTGTCGTTGGAGAAGAGCACTATTCACTATTCAGAGCAATATTCATCTCATGGACTGCCGAGAGAACAAGCAGGTATGTCTTGGAGAAGGTGTGGTCAGAGTGCTCCTTGGAGGATGATGAACACACTTTGGGCATATTGCTGGCAGAGGTTCGACTCCATGGCATCTAACAACAACATTCCTCGGAGAAGGACATCAAGCTTGGAAAGGTGGAGGGCCAACATAAGAGAGGAAGAGCTCTAACTGGATGACTTTAACAGTGACTGCAGCAATGGGCTCCAGTGCGTCCAAGAGTATGAGGACAGCACAGGAGAGGACAGGGTGCAGACTCGTTGCTCACTGGGTTGCTATGAGTGGTACTCGACTCAACAGCACCTAACAACAACAATAGCAACTACTCTTTGTCCTCCTCTCCTGCCTCTGGGTTCTAAAATTTGCTACAACTTCTCACAGAACTCACAAAAAGAAATGACTCAAAGAAACAGCTCATGAAGGTTTGCTGAGAAGTCCCGAATCCATGGGTCTGGTATTACATGGAAGGCTTCTCCTGATTCACATGGCTAAAGTACTGAGGAACTCAAGAGTAGCAGTCAGCAAAAGGGTGTTGCCAGCCACGGTGTCAGAGGCTGAATCAGTAGATCAGTTGAAAGGCTGATGGCTAATGTTTAAGAACCAGAGGTCAGCCAATAATAAGCCAAGGATAGGTGCCAGAGTGAGAGAGAATTTTGTCAGGACAGTCACAGCTAAACACTGGGTAAAGACAATGCTCTCAAGAAAGCCCTCTGTACTTAAGCAAGACTGCAAGAAGGTGGGACATGACAGTCATGATTTCATTATAGGTAGTAACTTGACTCCCACCCTCTATTCAAGCTAACAGTCCCCACCTGACTTGGCCTCAACAACGTAAGAGTTAAGTAATTTTCAAATGGGATCATAGCCACAGGCAGAGAGAGGAGGATTTGCATCATAATATAAGGTGAAGGATAACTATAGCATTACATTAGTGCCAGCTTGCATCACTACATAACCACCACATCACTGAAAATTATGACTGGGGACCTTGACGTCTAACTTCCCTCACAGGTTCTGTACACTTCATTCGTATTAGTCTGTGTGTCAATGGGATACTCCCAAGAGTCTCCAATTCCCTTGGGAGAGCACCTGTACCTTATTTTCATCATCCTAATCAATGAATGTATGGAAATCACAAAAACTATTACTGGAAGAGTAAGATTAAGTAAATCACGTTCCATTCATAGTATTATACGTGAAAAAGTTTTATCTTAAGGCATTAAAGCTCATTCAATTAGAAATACTCTCAAAATTATATTGTACCTGGCTAGAAGCCTTAAGATTCATTGGAATTAAGTAGTAGGAATCACACAACATTAAGCATATTTTAAATATTTTCTCAAGTTTCATTTTGTGAAAGACAAATTTTAAGTGTGAATATGCTTCCCACAGATTTAAGAGATAAACGTATATATTTTAAAAGCCTTTTTAGCCTCAAATTCTAAGAATTATACCTTAAACAGAGTAAAATGGCAAAAGCTTTTACAAGACTGAATAAATGAAGAGGAAATATATAAACTGGGGCAGATAATTTAAAAATATGAAGGGATGTAAATGAAGAGTAGACTATTTACATCTGGACTCTCACATAATTGTTGTTGATATGTGATACCAAGCCAACTACAACACATCTGAACAATGGCTCTGAAACTTGCCCTATCCTGAGTCAAACACACTGTCTCTGACACACCTGACCCATAAGGAAAAATTATAAGAGAGATAATACGGAGCCAGATTTCAGCTCAATTATGAAGCATAATTTGTTTTCTGAGGATAGCAAAGGCTATCTTAGGAGATGTAGAGTTCTATGGATTCATTAAATCAGGAGTCAGGGTAAGCATGACCCCTCGGACCAATTTTGGTCCACTGTCTGAACACATGAAGCTTTACTGTAATATAGACACTCTCACTGCTTTCCTCATTATCTGTTTTTGCCTTTATATCACAAGAGCAGAGCTGAACAGATATGAAGGAGACTACATACCCATGAATCCTAAAATATTTACTAACTGGTCCTTTACAGGAAAAAACCTTTGATAATCCCTGGACGAGATCATCGTTGTGGGCAAAGGTCTTATTCAGAACTCAAGTTCTGTCCGGATTATGGGGAGCTCTGATAGCAGCATAGCGAGCAAGGTTTACTGCTAATCCAAAGGCTTCAATAGCTCAGGAGGTTCAAAACCACCAGCCACTCGGAATTTGAATGATGTACAGTCTCCTACCATTAGGATGTATGAGCTGAAACCAACTTAGCATCAGTGAATTGGACAATAAAATCAAGAAAATCATCACTTGGGCTGAGGAAAGGGCCTGGCTGGTACAGCATCTATGTACAGAGTAAGCTCATGCAGGTTCCTCACTGCGCCAAGCAGCCCAGGCGAGGGTGAAGGGCTCGCGATTCGTCACACACTCTTATTGAAGGCGCGTGTCTATGCAGATCTCTCTCAGAGGGGGGGAGACAAAGATCTCTAATTTCTATTAAGACAGCAGAATAACAGACCTGAAGAAGCTGTGGACTTTCGGGTCAGAAATCATGTTACCACAGGGAGTTGTCCTGCTACTCTAAGGCTGGTGCTTCTCTGACAGTGTGCGTTTACCAGTAGTGCCTCTGCAGAAGGAAGATGGACAATCTCCTCTCATGAGATTTACAGCCTCCAAAACCTGCTGGACGGTCAGTTAGGAGTCAGTTCCAATTGAATGGTGTTGGGTTGGCTTGGCTTGGCTTGGCTTGGGTTCATGTTAATAAATACTGCGTCCTTTCCACCATAAGACCTTAGATCAGTGACATCACCAGGACTGGTGTCACTCTGGGCAGTGACACATGGCGTTACACTCATCCTCTCTTGAGGATAAGGCCACGTTGAATCTCATGGAGGATGGCATGGCCAAACACTGCACAGTTCAGCTCTCCCTCTCGCCTAGCCTCTCCCCCACCCCTTAGATCGGTCACTCTGCCCTCTCCTAACTCCCTGAAGCTTGTCTCCTCCCCTCCCCTTCCGTCCCCTCCAGACACCTTCTCCTTCCCTCCTCACCCCTTCCCTCTGCTCCCTCTTCCTCCCCTCCTCTCTTCTGTTAGTCAAGGTGGAGATCATCCTTTTTGCCCAGTAGTGAGCACCAGGAACATCCATCCGCACACACACACACTGACTGGGGTGGCAGGGGCTGGGGAGTAACAGGTTATGTCCTGGGTGCAGGTGCCATCAATCCTCCTGAAGCCCTAGGTTGCCCTGGCGATCTTCCCCCTCGCAGCCCCTGTCACCTGGCCCCATTGTTGCTGCCACCATCATGGACCATTTTGGTGTTAGAGGATATCATCTGCACTGTTCCGACCTGTCTAGTGATGATGTTGTCAAAGATATCACACTCCACAGATTCTGTCACTGAGTTTCAGCTTCATCCCGACTCCAGTGCTTATTTATATCCCTTGAAAGGTGCTTTTATGTTTTCAGAAATGCTACACACTGTTCCATCTTTGTTGTTGTTGTTATGCGCCGTCAGATCGCTTGATACTCATAGCAACCCTATGTACAAGAGCCCTAAACTCTGTCCTATGCCGATCGCACTGTCTCTGATACACCCATCCTGATTACCCCAGTCACTGAATCAATCCACCTCATAGAGGGCCTTCCCTTCCTGTGCTGTCTCTCCACCCTCCCAAGCATGATGTCCCTCTCCAAGGACCTGTCCCTTCTTACAACATGTCCAAAGTATGTCAGACGAAGCCCCAGAATCCTTGCCTCCAAGGAGTAGCCTGGTTTAACCCTCTCCAGGATGAATCTGTTTGTTTTCCTAGCAGTCCATGGTACTCTCCAGCACCACAGCTCAAAGGCATCAATTCTCCTACAATCCTCCCTAGTCATTGTCCAACTCTCTTCTACATAACAAGTGATTGCAAAGACCATGCCCTGTCTTTTCGAAAACTCAAAAGTAATCCTAAAAACTAGGAGAACCCTATTTCATTTTAGTTTTCACCGCATTTTCTAAAACCTTCTAAATATAGGAACCTTTCCTAAAAAAATAAAACTACCATTTATACCTCGCATAACTAATGTTCTGAGGAGGAAAGATCTATTCCCAGCCACATTTAATGCTTCATTACAAGCTCTTTGAGACAGAAAATACATAATTCTCTATGTACATTGCGAAGATAATATTATAAAGAAACATCTGATGGATTTGATTCTTGTAAATGTGCCTAATCTGTATAGATATCAGCTTATTTAATTGACAATAGATTTGAACTCTCTAAGACAAGGAGTCACAAAGTTAACCTCCTTTTCCCACTGGAGTTACTAGTCATTAAATAGAACAACAGAAAAATAATCTTGAACAGACATATTTAAATGTATTTTTTATCTGCATATAAACCTATCCAAGGCATGAAATATGGTATGTTTAAGGTTAAAAAATTAGAACTTTTCCAATATATTGACAGGGCATATATCAGAATATAGGCTTAACAATGTCAAAATCAGCAAAGCAAATTACCTGAAGAAGGTGACAAAAAACTGCACAAGGTCCATGATTGTGTTGTGTTGTGAGAATGCAATCTGAAAAATCAAAACACAATAGAATTTAAAATTTCTGGAAACGGTTCTTTTCCAGCAGCTGTGGTGATGTTTCAGAACATTAGTACAGATATAGTATCTTATGTTATTAAGACATTTAAATGATAATATTATAACTGGAATTAAAATTTCATAATACCTAATACAGTAAATTAAAGTAATGGCCTTTGTGTAGGTTATTATATTAACCAGTTAAAAAGCTATCAGATGTCCTTAAGAAGGCATGTTAAGACGTCAGTGTGAAAAGCTATGCCACACTAATGTGTAGTAAAAATATGTTCAATGAGTTTCTTCCTCACTCGTGGACATATTTTCAATAAACACAATTGATAATTATTCTTCAGACCATAAAAGAAGCCCAGACTCTATAAAAGACACTGGGGGTCCTCTTTCTGCTCACCCCAGGCTGTGTTCTTGCACCAACTGTATAGAATGAGGGGGAAGAGTGAAAGACCCCATCTACACCTCAACCCAGGCCTTGCGCTTGGTTTGTATTGTGAATAGGGTAACATAGCACTGAGGAGGGATTTAAATCCTGACTGTGCCATTTCCTGTGGGCAAAAGATGAACTGTGGGCTGAGTTGTCACATTGTCAGTAAAACTGGTGCAGGGATAACTGTGGCTCTTCGGGGAGGAAAAAAAAAGACACCGGGGGATTTTTTTGACATATATTCTTATCTAAGGAAGCCGCACACATACAGAGAAATATCAAGCACCACTCAAAAGAGTAAAGCATGCATGCCACTTCCCTCTCAAATTTCATATTAATGAGAAATAAATTTAAAAATGTGAAACAAGACAGTGAGTTGAAGTCGTTCTCCATTCCTGTTAACAATACACAACTCATGTTGTAACACCTGTCTTGAGGAAGTACTACTTACTGTACAACACATTAGCCAGAATGCTACACTGGAATATAGAATATCTCGGAAATCCAGCTTTCTATAAGGTGTAGTGACTGTGGAAAACTAACCTATTGTGTCTTTTCCTCTCAGAAGCAACAATTTGGAAAAATACTATATAGCAAAGGAGAGGCTAGAGATCATTATGCTGAGTGAACTAATTCAAGTCTCATAAGGACAAATACTGTATAAAACAATTCTTGCAAAAAATAGAAGGAAAACTAGTCAGATGAGTATAAACATCCAGAGAGGAAAGGGAAATAATAAGGTCGCAGAGTTTGGTGGATGAGGGGGTGGGGTGGGGGGTGAAGGAATAAGGAAAGATCTAGTGGGAATCTGAAAAGGCAGGATAATGAAGGTCATAGATCAATGATGATTAATTTTATAAGACACAATGTAAGAAAGATTGTACGAAACAAAATGGGAAAGAATAAAAAATGTAAAACAAAAATAGTAATATATATACTGTTAGCAAAAATATTTCTAGGAGTTCAGTAAATATTATACTTTTGTTGTTGTTGTGTACTGTTGAGTCAGAACCAAACCACAGCTAACCGTCTAGTGAGTTTTCAGAGGCAGTTTAATCATACAGGAGGAAACTTCCCACTTTTTTTCCATAGAGCAGCTAGTGGATTTGAACTTCATACTTTCAGAATTGTGGTGCAGCTCCTTACCACCAGGTCAGCAGAGCTAACTATTATACTTTTATATAACTCGCTCAGCATATCTTAAGCTCAAGGAACGGAAGAACAAATTCAAACCTCGAGTTGCCATAATCAAGGATGCTTTCGGCAGAACGTTAAATGATCCTGGAAGTATTAAAAGAAGATGGAAGGAATATACTGAGTCACGGTATCAAAAAGAAATGGAAGACACCTGGCTTCAGCCAGACTTTTCTAGACAATGACTATGCTCAAAGAATTGCTGCTTAAAAAAAGACATTTACAAAGCCTGACACCGGTAACCCACCACTCGTCAAATATTTATCTATTTTCCCAGGACTACTTCTGTTTCAGAAAAGATTCAATGTTAAAAAGAAGAAAAAAAAATAGAATTGGAAGACACAGAAGAATTTCATGAAACAACATATGAGCAAGAGCCTATGGTGATGAAAGAAGAAGTTCAGGCTGCTTTGAAGGACATGGAAAAAAATAAGGCTCCAGGAATAGATGGTATTACCAATTGA